TTTTGTTTCTCTTAATTCTCTACCCTCCCAAGATGGAGGAAAGAAAACATCTAACCCACTGTTCATACCATTAAGAATTTTCGTCTTCTTATAATTTACTTTTCAGCAATCTGACATGAGAAACAGATCTGTATGCAATTTATGCAGTCTGAAATAAAACAAGAAATTTTTAAATTTTTTGTTTGATCCATGATCTAACTAACAATGTTAGTACTTTGTAGCAATGAGTGTGTGTTTTATGATAGGCTGCAGCAATATTAAAAGGGATAGCATTTGCAGGGTGGTAATATTCAGGTTCAGACCCTTAAAACCAATAATTAATTTATAACATCCCTGAATATGTGATGAACTTTGGTTTCTCTACTCTAGGATGGATTAAACTAACTCTTGAAGTACAAGTAATAATTTATTATTCTGAACTCAAAACTACCCTTATCATGATACTGGGATCTCTTATGTTGAAAAAGAGTCATATGCTATCAACGGTCCTTTTAAATATGTAAATAATTTGCAGAAAACACAATTATTAATATGAGGGTATTTTTAAGGGAGTAGGTTGATTTTTGGAAGGAAAGTGCTAAATCCTCCAAAAAAACTTTGTTCAGAAGAAGTTAAGTGAAAGTATGAAAATAAGTAAGGAAAATATCGATACTTGTAATTGAACAGGAAAGATATTTAGAAACAACAACCCTAATCGTGTGACTACCATGCATGCTTGCAAAATATTGAATTTTGACTTGACCAAGGTTGCCGAAATAATCTTTGTTTTTGTCCTCTTAGGATTAAGCAATTATTTGACAGTTACGTCTTGTTACTTAGAATGCTGCTTCAAAGTACCCCTTTCTCATCCAACTACACCGACCTAGCCACCTTATTAGCAATATTAAAGTTAGTTATGCTGTTACCATGGTTACAGAATTTTGTAACAATCAGCTAGGGTTGTAGTTGTTATTCATCCTGTCTTCGGCTTTGTGGCAAATCCTTGTGACTGTCCAGTAGTTCTGCTTGTCAACACTCGACTTCTTCTCTATGAAAGCATCAACAATCCACTGTTGAAATGTCCCAGATCCAATAGTCAATAGGTGTGACCCCCCTATTAGGACATTCTTTTCTGTCAGTGCAACAACACCACTATCCATAACCACTGGATCATCTGATTTTGGATTGTATGTAGTGGGTTTTAAACTTTTTGATAAGAACCTCTGCATTTGTTTTATTTTGTTGGTCAGTGTAACGTTCTGCGCCGTTAACGAATGTAAGGTGTCCGAGCCAAAACGAGTAAAATCCGAAGAAAGGAAAACTTGCGTGATTTTGTACTTTTGCTTGAGCACTCCAACCTTTTCCACTAAGGTTTTGAGACATAGTGACAATCTTTCAAAACCATACCACTGTATTTGACGTTCAGAGCGAATATGGACCGAAATAAACTCCTCGCCAATCGAATCAACGATATTCCTAGCTCTTGAAATAACGAGTTCACTTGACGGTAACGAATATACCAACTTCCGGCTGCTCTGATCCACTTCCGGTTTGAAATGGTTTCTGTCCTTGCCAAGTCCTCGCCAATGAATAATAGCTACGCACTTATCTCCTTTAAGAATTTCAGTTTCAAATAATTGAAGGCTCTTGACTTTCTCGGCATCTATGCAAATTTGCCTCCCAGCTTGAAAATTACCAATTCTGTCAGAAAAATCGAGACCACGATCAATAAAATTGCATTCACACCAACCGGATTTTTTCAAGGCCCCTTCAATCTTTCGATACACCATGGCCGATATCTTGTACCACTTTTTCATTTCGTCTTTTTTGCGATCATTGAACATAAAATGTAACAATGTAGTGTTTGCAACGCTTGATCGACACTCACGTTTAAAAGTTTCCAATTTTACCATCCGTGCATAGTGAGATTTTATGAGCAAATTGTTCATAAATTTTACATCGAAATAAATCGCCAGAGGATAAAATCTTCGGCTCTCAGTCCGTGGTTGTCCTGACCAACCGTAAGGCAAACCACACATTCTAGAATCTCGAACTAAAGGTTCCACAATCACACGGCCAATTTGTTTCGCAACCGCAGCTAACTGGAACAAATTTTCTGTGGTCTTCGTAAGTTGTTCGTAATGGTGTAAGACAAAGAGAAACTTCAGGTTATGTTTTGCTCCATCGGCGGAATAATTGATTATCGGCCGATTACTCAGATAAATATTGTTAGGTGCGCTCGTTGAAGACCGGTTCTTCACTCGACCAAAAAACTGCGAGGCTTTTTCGATGGCGGTACTGTGAAGGTTCGATGCTGGCAGTGATTGAAGCTTCTTTTGTATGATACCAGCTGAAGTTTGGCTGTCTTCAACATGATGTAGCAGATGATACATAATAAAAATACTCAAAACAACACAAATCTTTACGCCAAGCGTAATTCCACATTTCGACACTAGAGGTGACCTTCGCCGTCTCGCACACAGCCACATAAAGACTTCTACTCGGTTAGAATTAAATCGATATAGAACCAGTGTTGTTAATGAAGTTTTAAAGTGACGACAGCCTGATCAGCTCGATGATCGTTGAAAATCGAGTTTCGATTTCACCACACTCATATCACAGCACAATCCAGAAATATTTGACTGATCGTTGCAGCGTTGCATTCGTAAACTATGTTGATTAGTTGAGGCTAGAACACGTTGTTTCCGTTTTACATGTCAAGGATCCGCATCTTTTTTTTTTATCGAATCGCATATTAATGAAGTTCTTTGGCTAGTTATATGATTGCTTACAGCTGTTGACAGTTTGACGGAACGATAACAAATTCGTTTCAAATTTATTACAAATTTTCCCCCGAACAGCTGCTTTACAGGCTTATGTATTGAGAATTGTTTAAAAATCAGCGAGGCAGGGAGAATATTTGACCTTGTAAATTTGGTATCATATTAAAATTGGTGGCTTGTCTATTTACAGCCCAGTATATTGTACACTGGCAGTATATACAGTGGCACTTTGTTGGGGTTATAGTTATTTGATCTGTTCAGGGAAAAAATTCTCGTACTGATTTTTATCACTAGCTAGATTCTCAGCAATACCAACACCGTAATGAGGCGGGTACGGCGGGGGATCGGTTGTAAGGTTTTGGTCATTTTTAGATTTTTTCAGTTACGCTTAAAATATTCCGTTTTCGGTTTTCATGTCTGTTGCGGTTTTCGTTTTTCTCTTTTTTCCTAGTTTATACGCAACTTTTGGGAAAAATCTAGCAATCAACGAGTTTTTTTTTAGAAAAAATGATAAGCTAAAAAGTTTCTTTCTCGCGTGATCAATGTTGTGGTCACGCGATAAAGGAAAAGAACACGTAAAGCGAGACGGATTCAAGTTTGTGAATTTGCAGTTTTAATCATATTATGTCGTTGGCGGTTTCCGATTTTGAGTGGTTTTCCCGATTCATTTTATCGCGGTTTTCCGTTTGTTCCAAAGCCGAAGTTTTGAGCGCGGGTTTTCCGGTTTTCATGTCCGTTACTCCCGGAGGGATACCTGTTACCGCTGCTGGTTAGCAGAAAGCGGAACAAGAATACTCTTTCTAGTCAGTGAATTAAGTCGTAAATAATTTTTTTTTACGTTCAACGCTTGCTTCAATTCTTCTACTAAATTTTAGAATACACTTTCGAGTCAACTTAGCGCCGGGGCTTCAAGGTTGAGTCCTCCCTTCATTGATCCCAGTCAGTTTCGTGATAAGAAGAAACAGAAACTGTAGATGTTTGCTCGCGTCTTTCAGATTTTTTTCTTTACCAGAAAAAAAGACATTGCTATTTAACTCTCAATAATTCAATAATCTTTGATTACTACTAGTTCAATATGTTATGTTTCGTTATCATTTTATGACAAAAATGGCGCTCGCTTAAAAGAGTATTTTGACTATCTACCAATGCAGACAATGCGGTTTTCATGGAATCTGTTGTGGGCCAGAGAGTTACCGGGATATCCTGTTCAACCTTTCATATCTTTAACCTTCGTTTCTTATCTCGTACAGTTCTGAAATGGCAAAAATTCCTGGTACGCTTGTCTGATTTGGACATAGCGCTGAGTAAATCAGTTATTTTATTCAGCCATCGTAAAGTCCGCCGCCTGAAATGACGTAAGTATAATTGGAGTCAGAAGGTCACTACGCAGTAAAGGCTCCTGATGCGCATATCGAGTACACTGAACACCCAGCGATATTTGTACTCAAGTAGATTGGCTTGTCCTCTCAATTCCTGACCGCGTGAAAGCGTTTGTTCAAAGCCAGGGTTTGGAGAAAGAAATCGCGCTCAAGACGGTAAGAGTCGTGTAAAAATTCAGCGAGACTACATTTATTATCCTTCTGTGTAAACTAACGAAAAGCGGAGCGGATAAAGAAGGGAACAAATACATATTTTCCGCTGTTCGGAATTCTTTCTCCGATATTGATAAACATGAACGAGATAACAGAACTTGAAAGCCCCTTCTGTTCGAATAACGTTTTAGTGAGTTTCTTATCTCGTTCGATCCTGAAATTCTGAAAATCAAGAAATGCTATAAATTGAGGTAATCGCGGCTTATTGTAAGAAAACTTCTATGAGTTAGCCGGCTTAATGAGCTAATAGGCTTATATCAGTCAAAAATATCCATTAAGAGGTTATTGTTGAGGGACAAAGCTGCTTAGTCAAGTGCCTTCACAGTCTTAAACATATACCACTCAAATGAAATAGTTTTGGGAGTATTATAAACCAAATTTTCCGCGGTCCAAATTTGACCCAAGTTAGAACCCTTTTCATTTTTTTAACGTTTTAATTCTTTTTACATGTGTTTTATTCCTTATTTCGCCTGTATTTCTCTGATCAAGGCCGTTACTTTTCTTTCATTTATTTGAAGACTATTTCATCGTATCAGTGGTTTCGTGATCGCAAAGAGGCGTGCCACCCCACCCCCCCTTCCCCTACCCGGGATTTAACCCACATCCAATTTATTGAATAATTACATGGGCCTCTGATATCAGGAGCCCAGACTTAAGTGGAATGTATTATTTTACCCCTGATAATATTCATGATCATTAAACGACTGTTTAATCCATTTATTGCATTTTTCTCCTTTATCTTGAATGGAAGGACTTTGCGAGCACTACAAAGTTTGACAACCCCGCAAAAGTTTCGAATCAGTACGAGCGACATCTAGTCCCCGTCCACACTACGTTATTTCAACGGTCAGGCCTGCCATCCACACTAATCCGTCATGAAAACAAAAGTTTTCGAAAACGTTCTGCAAACCGGGCGATTTTTAAAACGCCGGCTTTTCGTTTTCGTGTGGACGGAAAAAATTTGACCACGGATCTTTTCGAAAGCGATGACGTCACGATAATCACGTGATTTCCCTGCCCGAGTTTTCCTCAAACACAAACCCAAAATGACCGGTAATTGTTGTGTTTTAAAATTTCTCCGGCGTTGTGTGGATGGAAAACCTTTGATGCGTTTTCAAAGTGAAATGTCCCTTTTCAAATTCCTCCGATCTCGACTTAGTGTAGATGGGGCCTAAGTTTGTTGTCAGGTTCAGGGGTGCCTGTTTCCGACCTGTTGCAAGCTGATAAGGACGAAGGTGCTGAGGACGCCGGCTTAAGCGCGTTGTCTGTGGTTTGCCTATCACAAAATGCAATATAAACTACTCAAGGGACGACTATAAGCAAATCGCAATAAGCGCAAAAAACGCTCTCTTTAATTGTCAACCCTTTATCACGTGACTATGCACTAGCCTATGAGAACATGCATTAGATCTAGTTTAACCATTGGAACTGCATCATTCACTATAACAGATACTGAATTTAACATACACTCCTTTTTTCATAAAAGTATATTTTATAAGAATATCGAGGCTGAAATTTACGAAATTTTAAGAATATTTTAAGAATAAACCCGAGGCTGAGATTTGGAAAAGGACACAATTTTGTGTGTGGAAAATTTGTAAACTGACAGTACAACTACATGTTTTCAATAAAGCGGCGTATAAAATTCTTCCTTTCTCTAAACGGCAGAACTAGCCAAAAAGCGAAAACAAAAAACAGCACTGGCTGTATGTTCAATGCTAATAACATTTCTGCAAGAAGCTATATGTGTGATATCAGGCTTCAGTGCCTGCAGGCTGGCTCCAAAATTATTTGAATACTATTTTGACAACAAATCATTCGAAAACAGAAATGTCATACGCTATAACCTAAGAATACTCGCAAGAATATTTCCAGCCTAGAATCGGCAGAAAAAATAAGAATATTCAGCCTCGGCTGGAAAAATATATTCTTATATATATATAAAAAAGAGTGTATCGTACAAACGTGCACAGCTCTAAAGAAATTGTCGTATATTTTTAACTATCAAAGACGCTTATTGATTAAGTACATTTTGCTCTCCGGTGACGAATATGAGAAAAAATATATATTTGCGCTCATTGCTATGAAGTCGTTTTTATTCTTATATGTAATTTCCCGCTTAATAACATCCCCACCCCTCATTTCGTGTATCTAAATTCAGTGATGGTAATCCACACGTGAAATCTTCAAATTTTCAGATCAAATTTAATTGTCTATTTATGTCATTTTTGTTAGTCCTAAAAGATCTAGTGCTACTTTACAGTGTTCTTCAATTATCCGAATTCTACCTATTGGCGATTCTTTCTGCCATTTGTCAATATTTGCTGTAGAATTTCGAACAGAAGAAAATATATTTTTCTCTTGTTTCCGCAGTTCTTCCTTGCTTGGTGAAGTATTGCGAATAACCCAGTCACGAATGCTCTCTGGCATTTCAAATCCAGCAAACTTGTACATAGCTTGTGTCGTTTCCAGCGGCCTCCCAGCGAGATCTCTGTAGTGTACTTCGAGATATTTATCCTGCCACTGACCTAAGTTGCGCCCAAATTTGATGTTTTTTGCCAAGTTTGAACAAACTCTTCCAACGTTGTTAAGAAAACTCCAGTGATGAAAATCCACCATCCATCCCAATTTAATTCTTGAATTCATGCTCGCTCTAGGGTCGCGTATAAGCTGGATCACTCTGATATCCGTGTCTAAATTCTCTGTGAAAAGCATCGGGAGAAAAGATGAAATCAGATTGTCCGGTGTCCTAGGTTCACCTATTTTAGTAACACTGTGTTTGTACTTTGTTACGCAGACTTTGTCGGCGTAGTTGGGGTTTCTGGCAAGATCTCTGCATGTTCCGTTGGGGCAAAACGCGGAAGACTGAAACGCGTTGTTCACATACGCTCCACTCCACGTTTTCGTCGTTTGCGAAAGAAATTTTATACCCGCTGGACTCTCGGCGAATTTGCAACTCAAAATTCCTTTAAGAAGATCAAGGACATTTCTCTTCCAATTTTTGATCTGTGAACTGTCTTCTTTGTTCCATCTCTTTGTTATCCATAGTGGTTCATAAACCGTCATCAGCTGTGGATCTGCGGCAAACATTTTAGTTGTGAATGTTGTTCCCGAGCGATCGGCGCCATAGATTAGGAGACTTCGGCGGCGCTCGGCTGGGATCTTCGGTTGAACATCGGGGGACAATTTGGTGGACAAAGCAGCCTGACGTGACTTGGGAAAGGACGGTTTTTCTGTGTCGGGCTTCGGGCTTGAAACTCTTAGTAGCTTGGGTGAGTTTGATTGAATCTCGGGCAAAGATCGGTCTGTCGAGACCAGCTTCGGATTTGAATCCGTTTGAGCTTCGGATGACTTCGTATGAGACTCGGGGGAAGATCGGTCCACCAAGGTCAGCTTTGGCTTGAAATCTGCTTGAACTTCAGTAGACGTTCGTTTAGCCGGAATAGTTACGACAGTCACAAACGCAATTCGGTTTTGAGTCGGCACTGTTGACGTCACGTGATACTTGAGAGTCAGGTTCCTTGTCTCCCAGTTTTTGTAGAGCAGCGTCATTGAGGTAAACAGGCAAAGTACAAAGCAAGGTAAAAACAACTTTTGGCAGAGTTGATAGCTGATGCTAGCTACTGATTCTTTCTTTTTCATCTTTTTGTGGTCAATGGATCAAGAAAGCAATAACTCTGAAGGGCATAAACATGAATTGAGAGAATATATGGAAAATGATCACGAATGAGGTGGATCAACTTTGTGTTGGTTTAAGAAACATTTATATTAAAATTTATATATGCTCAAAAAACTTAGTCCATCTACTGATGTGAATCGCGGACAAAATATACATTTACTATTAAGTCGCTATCTTGAATTTTTCAGGCACAGACTGAACGAAATTGTTCTCTATATTTGATTTATTCAGAAGAAAACCCTCTCTTTAAAGCTGGTGGTAATCGTTTATTTATCACAAATAAACAAATGGCTGCCAGTTCTAAATAATAAGAGAGTGGTTTTATCCTGAATAAAACAGCTTACTGAAACAGTTTACATTTCAGTCCATGAAATACTTCATCGTCCTATAATAAATAGCATGTGAAAGGGGGATTCAATATTTGCGTTAGGCATAACAAGTATAAACGGAAACTTTACGTCTGTGAGATCAGTCAGACACAAATTAAATATGCCATTCATATGCAATAATCAGCCGATATCGTATTTCATAAAGAAAATGTTCAAAAAAACTTCAGTTAGCTGTTTTAAACCGAGAATGAAACTGTAATCCAGAAACCCGAATCTCCCTTCATCTGCCGTGAAATTTTAATGTGAGGTTTTAAATGGCCTCTCTTCAAGTGCCTCACATTGAGCGCAGGGTGAAATTCAACGAAACAAGAAAACAAGAATAATACTCACCTGTGGTAGAGACAGAGACGTTCTATAATCACACATGAAAGCCTCTTCGAGCAAGAAATCTAAAGGGTTAATGACGCAATCTACGTGTTACAATTGCAATTGATGGTGCGGCTTCAATATGGTGCTAGGAAACGCCACATTGCTTTGAAACATTTGCAATTATGTCGACGCCATCTTGTGTAAACGTCCAGCGATTAATTTTTTCTGTACAGTGTTTTAATCATTTTGTAAGTTGGTCGACTTGAGTTTTTACTTTAACCTGGAAATTAGTGAAAGCCTCAAAGTGGATTTGTCTTTATTGGCTGCCGGCCGGGAGTTCTCCATAGCCATGTTTTTCATTTTCAAGCCAAGCTTGAAATTTGTATAGGTAATCATACGGTTTCGAGTTCAATTTGGAATTAATTTGCACAAGTGAGTTTTTCAAAAAGCTGAAATTGCACGAGCCGCTTCGGCG